GTTATGACTTATAAAATTTTCTATTACATTAACATTATGACCACATTGGTCATATAAAGTTGAATATAACCCAAAATGGCCAACACTGTTCCTGATGGATCGTTGGTACTATTCCTGATAGGGTGAGAAAAAAAATCGATTTACATACAGTTCCTGATAGGGTTTTATCCAAAATACTATACTACTATAATGAAAAAAAGTTTTGGGATCCCTATCAGGACTAGTACTCAAATAAATTTTTTTTAACTCCGGAATTGCCGATCCATCAGGAATAGTATTTTTGCACTGTTTCCTTTTTAGGAGCTTGTGTTATCGGCATGAGTAAAGTCGTACTCTATTCAATTGGCTGATTTAGAGCAGTTGATTACTTTTTTAGCCAATAAACTTTCACTATGATACTGATAAAAATAGTGATTGCAGATCAGTTCATGTAGTTCACGTTCATTTCGAGAAGGAAAAAAAAACATGGTAAAAATAAATAAATAAATATAAATATATATAACTGTTTAAAGCCAAACACTACTACATTATTTTGTAGGCAGAAAAACAAGTTACCTCCGGTAACCTTGCACGAGCTTTGCAAAGGATGCCCAATATTATGAATGTGGACGTTGCGCAGCAGCTGGCAGAAATTAATACGACACTACAAAACATAAATAGCACCATTACAACCATGCAGAACAACATGACAACCATGCAGAACGATATTACAACCATTCAGAACAACATGACAACCATGCAGACGGTTATTCAGACTAGTTTACAAAACACGTGATTTTCTTGCCATATCATGACCAACAATAACAATTAGATAAGAAAACGGTTACTTTTTTTTTTTTTTTTTATTATTATAGGGACAAACGAACTCTCGCAAGAATTTTTAATTCGTGTATCAATCATCCTAGTGTAAATCTGGAAATCGTTCCTGATTTCAATGGCAATGTCCCACCAAATTATCCTCGATCAATTGATGCAATTCGCGCGCTATCAGGTTCGTATATCGATATTATATACATTAGTGCAATTAGAGATGTTAATGGTCACAATAGGACTCTAGCATTACCGGCGTTAGTGTTTTATTTTGATTTTATGTTACACCAAATCTTGAATATTAATTTGACCGATAGTGAAATTTTTTAGGTTGGTGATGTCAGGGTGGTTACAATCACAACGTTTATATGCTAAATACTAGTTTCAGAATTTTTACTCAAAAATCATTTTTTTTTTAAAAAAAAAGTGTGAACTATTTCTATATCTAATAATTAGCATATATCCGTTCTGACCGACTTATGACCGTTAACATTTTTAAGCACAATTTCAAAATTCAGAAAAAGCTAAAAACCTTTATATATGTATAAAGCCCAGCAATTAAACCGGCTCTTAAACTTTTATGGGTTATCGACCAATGGATCTATAGA